GGTCATTTGGGAATTGATGTTGATTCGGCGATCTGATAGATCTGCATACAACTGCGTGCTTACATGCTTGGTCGCGGAATGCAATTGATGATTATACCGGTAGGCCGCTATTGGTAACCATGGCAACGAGGCGTGGGTTTTGACAGTGCGAGTACAGAGCACCCGATCGCACTTCGGTAGTATTGGCTTTCACCTCGGCGAGCGAAGAACGCCTCCCTTCGTGCTCCTTCTGCTAAGTCTCGCGGGAAATAAGACTACCACATTTTTCTTTGAGTACATATGCTGCCATCTGGACGTACTCAGACAAAGCTTTGGGTGGTGCGCTCAACAGGGTGTTATACATCAACGTGGATTATGATGGGCCAAATATGACGTTGACAGAGGCTGTTAGGAGTCTTGTTCCTTTTCAAACTTTATGATGGCGACGAGAGAACCGTAGTCCAACGAGGGCGTGGATGCACGTAGACGTAGGTTTGTATTTATGTGTTACTCTAGGTTTAAGCGAAGTAGGTACAAGCTCCATGTGGTGTGACACCTGAGCGAGCCGTCGGCGTGATATTCTTCTCTAAAGCTGTTTGTATTAAATATAATCACTCGGATAGAGCGGACTCCCATAAAATCGACGACGCACGATTTTTGATAATGTAATTAAAATAAATTGAAAAAGAAAAGATAAAAATACGTAAGAAAAAAAGAGTAGAGAGAGAGCAATTGTAAAAAAAAAAGTAAGCAGTTAGTTAAATTAAAAATGATAATGGAAAGGTAAAGTAAGATGAGCGAAGACAGCTCACACTACATAGAGGGAATACTTACTTAGCCTAACATGGCGAGAAAGTAAAAAATTCAACATGGAAAAAAATGGCGGTAGAATAATAGAGTAACAGGACTATGAAAAAAATTAAGTAAATAAATAAATAAAGCTCGTATAAAATAGACATAAAAACGTTGAAAAAAAAGAACTGAGAGGAGAATAGGAAGAGAAAGTAAAAAGGGGTGAAAAAGAAAAACGATCTGTGATGGCAAGTGGAGAAAAGACCGAAACAGAATATATTGTATTAAATTAGGAATATAAGTATTTAATACGCACACGTTACTTGTCAGTTTCCTATCCCCCCCCCCCCTATCTCTAACATCCTCATCCCTCTTTTAGAAGCATTCTCTTCTATCTTCGGGCTACGTTGATGAAAGAACGATTCCGTTAACAAGTCAGAAAATGATAGCTTTTGTCCAGCCATATCTCTATTTTCACAGTTAATCCCCTTTATATCAGATTCATCCCTACTTAAGGGATATAGTGGTTGATAATCAATTTTTAATAAAATAATTTCCTTTTATTATTATAATTTTTTGGAACGCCAAACTTTTCCCATAATACTGAAGCACGGCTGTGAAACCTTTCCTTACATGTATATAATGTTATATAATGTTATGTAATGTTCTATAGAGCGACTACACAAGCCTCGTTTTTCTCCTACTTTTACAGCAGCACGTTTTCTTGCACCTTATAGAGATGTGTATTTATTTGTGTTACATAGACTGCACGGCTTGAGTGAAAGCCTTACTTCTAAACCTCCTGACTAAACATCAGAATACTTATTTGGGGTAGTTAAATACTAGTCTTTGATTTATTGTGTTTACTACAGTTGAGAATTACAGCAGCTCGAATTGGGTAACTGTCATTGCAAAACGATTTGATTTATATAACCGCTGCCATCAAAAGAGAGAAAGGAGTACTAGCTGGGCGGCAGATATTGCTAGGGCTGTGGAGATCAATATTCTGTAAAGGGTTTCATTAAAAGCATCGTTTTGCGTTTTTTTTTCCTGAAAAAAACAACAACAGAAGTTCTGTGTGTGAAAGCTGACTACCTTAGCTGAGTTCGCACAATTATGTGAGGATTTTCCAATGTACTAACATTCACAAAATTAAGAGTAGGTTGCTCAGTATGCCATATCAATGTATAAGTTATTCAGTGTACTAAATTTAACAATCTATCTGTAGGTTGCTCAGTATGTCACATCAATGTATAGGTTATTCAGTGTGCTGAAAGTTTAAACAACTATACGTAAGTTGTTCATGCAGTGTAGTAAAGTTAATACATAGATCTGTAGGTTGTTCAGTATTCTAAGATTAACAATCTATCCGTAGGTTGTTCAATGGACTAAAGTTAGCAATCTATCTGTAGGTTGTTCAGTGGACTAAAGTTAGCAATCTATCTGTAGGTTGTTCAGTGGACTAAGGTTAACAATCTATCTGTAGGTTGTTCAGTGTACTAAATTTTACAATCTGTAGGTTATTCAGTGTACTAAAGTTAGCAATCTATCTGTAGATTATTCAGTATACAAAAGTTAGCAATCCATCTGTAGGTTGTTCAGTGTACTAAAGTTAGCATTCTATCTTTAGGTTGTTCAGTGTATTAAAGTTAGCAGTCTATCTGTAGGTTGTTCAGTGGACTAAATTTTACAATCTGTAGGTTGTTCAGCGTACAAAAGTTAGCAATCCATCTGTAGGTTGTTCAGTGTACTAAAGTTAGCATTCTATCTGTAGGTTGTTCAGTGTATTAAAGTTAGCAATCTATCTGTAGGTTGTTCAGTGTACTAAAGTTAGCAGTCTATCTGTAGGTTGTTCAGTGGACTAAATTTTACAATCTGTAGGTTGTTCAGTGTACTAAAGTTAGCAATCTATCTGTAGGTTGTTCAGTGGACTAAATTTTACAATCTGTAGGTTATTCAGTGTACTAAAGTTAGCAATCCATCTGTAGGTTGTTCATGGACTAAAGTTAGCAATATATCTGTAGGTTGTTCAGTGTACTAAAGTTAACAATCTATTTGCATGTTCAGTGTACTAAAGTTATCAATCTGTCTGCATGTTCAGTGAACTAAAATTAACAATCTGTCTGTAGTTTCAGTGTACTAAAGTTAACAATCTGTCTTATTTTCACTGTACTAAAGTTAACAATCTATCTGTAGGTTCAGTGTAGTAAAGTTTTCAATCTATCTATAGGTTGTTTAGTGTACTAAAGAAACACATCTATCTGTAGGTTGTTCAGTGTAGTAAGGTTTACACCTATATCTAGATTAGGTATTATAATAAACAAGCAGTTGTATGAAGTTCATATAGTGTAATGAAATTCAAATGGTTATTTAAAGTTTGTCCAGTGAAATGAATTCACGCATCACGTTGAAGGTATCCCAGTGATATAATGTTCACACAGTTGTGTGAAACAAGTTACGTGAGTCTGCGGAGATTGTTTTGTAGACGATCGTCCTATGTGGGTAGAAATAAGTGCTTAGACAGGTATGTGAAGGCTATTTTCTATAATAGTGTTTATCCAACTGTTCGACTAGGTTCAGAAAGTTTAAACAGCCTACAGTCGTGAGAAAGGCCACTTTCAAAGTTCTTAGATTAGTGGTAGCGCGGATACTTTATCATGTACATTTGTATATCCCCTGTTCGCTATATCCCCCCATTAATTTATGTTTACACTTCCCTTCACAAACTGGGTGTCGTTTTGATGATTGGACCAAATAAATTTTGATGACAGTTCAAACGGTTGTAACTTTCCACAGTGCTGCTCCATTAACTTCGTGATGTATATGTACTAAGCCCTTGCAAATCGCCTTAAGGTCATAGAGCTTGTGCTCCTTCCCAACGCCCATAATGGACCAAGGCCGGTGCAGGCTGCTTTCTGTTCATACAATGATATTTATACGTATCTATAGGTCCGTATTTTGATGTGTTATGTGCACCGTTCACAAACATCAATAAATTTGTTCTGCTATGGGACAGTGCATATTGTAAGAAACCTACAATCGTCCACAGTATATGTATACCAGGCCCCCCGAGGCTACTTTTTATATACCCCTACACACCAAGTGGAAGAAACGTTGTATGATTCGGGATAGTTTTTTTCCCCTTTAGAGACGACAGTGCTGAGAAAGAAACATACAGAATTAGTGTCACTATTCTGAAAAACATCAGGTCTGGCATGAGTTAGAGTTTGGCGACGTATATCGAGTTAATGATGTGAGATGTAACTGACAACTGTTAGCGGAGAGTATCGTATTTCAACGTGTAAGTATCCTACATTGTAGTCGAGTGATCAGGCCTATGTCGCAATGTTGTGCACAGGTATCTAAATTCTAAGTACGAGGTGCCATAAGGTAAAGATTTGATACTCTCAGCCTCGTTTCACACAGCGATGTTGTGCACAGGTATCTAAGTACAGGGTGCTATAAGGTAAATATTTCATACTCTCAGCTTCGTTTCACACAGCGATGTTGTGCACAGGTATTTAAGTACAGGGTGCTATAAGGTAAATATTTCATACTCTCAGCTTCGTTTCACACAGCGATGTTGTGCATAGTTATCTAAGTACAGGGTGCTATAAGATAAAAGTCTGATACCTTCAGCCTGTTTTTATAGTCGATTTAACATGAAACTCGGATTTTGCTTGTGTAATGGTTTCAACATTCACGTACAAACAATCATTACATTTTTGCCTTTAATGAATATTATAGTTTCCATGTGGTTAAACTCATCATTATACATAGAACTTTATAACAATTAACCCAAAATCACAGCGTTTGAACATTTATAATAAGTGAGGTTTAGCAATTTGATAAGCTTAAATTCGACATTATTTATCTTCGTAAGGACCTACAACTCATTATTACCCATTGGCGAAAGTACACTAGCATCTGGGCCGTGATAACAAAGACTTTTTTTGTAATTCATTTTTCACATACTACCGCACCTGTGTTCTTCAAACGACCACCTACTTTAATTTATGACTCAGAAATACTACTAACATTTCTCACTGTCGCGTCGGACACAAAGATTGTTAAAATTTATACAGCGATTTCTGTTAGTTTGTAACACCTCCCAAAGATGTTGTAAGCCCGCTTAGTCTATCACGTGCCCAGCAGTCATTCCCTCGCGCTCATTGCACGTGAGGTCGTTTATGCTCACGTTTCATGTCAGTTTCTCTCTCTTGTTACAGAAGTGACAATCAGGCAACTTCAGAAGACGATTCTAGAACACCGGGAGAAATTAGAAGTCATAATACAGGTAGAGAGTGTTGTTTACGTTTACCAGTTTAGAAATTAATTAGAAAAACATTTATACTGTGTAGACATAACAGAAAATTAATATATATATATACGTATTTTGGATATTTATAGAATGAAATCGGAACTATTTCGGTGTATATATATATATATCAGAACTAGTAAATTAATGAAGCCAATTCAATATTAAAAAACCTGACCAGAAGTATGTAATGTCACAAGAAAAGTAAGATATATAAAGATTAGAATGCATTAAATCATCAGCGGGACATTAGCTGTTAACTACTTTTTCGGCTGTAATCCCAATAATAATCTAAAAGGTTAGGCCAGCGTAGGAGATTTAGATTTCTCCTAAATCCACATACTAAACTAACAATGCAAAATAATTAGAAACATTGAAATAACGAAAAAGATCTTCCGAACTAAATCAATAACCAATAAATTAGTTAGCGAAAACATTTCTATAAAACAAACTGATTATAACTGGGAAATTGAAATGTAAACCGATTAGAATGTATGAAAATATCAGGTAAGAACGCTCGATGTATCGTAATGTTCTGTTTTTTGTTTAACATACTTTGTTGTAGGAAATTTGTAGTGTAATCTGAGACTTTTGTTAATTGATTCCATTTTCATGTCTTGTTTTTTTTATTTTAGTGAAAATATTATATATACAAACCAGTTGTTTCTTAAAAGAAATAACAAAATATTGCTCCAATTTCACTGAAATATTATAAATCAAATCTCTCTTACACCCTATGCGTGTATTTCTATCTATCTGTCTGTCTGTTTGTTTGGGTATTTGTCTATCTCTCTAATAGAGCTGCTTGTCTGTCTCATTTTTTATCTGACTGCCTTCCTAACAGCCTATTTACCTTCCTATCTGTTTATTTAACTGTCTGTGTGTTTGTCTATCTGTTTATCTTTGCTTTCCTGTTTGCCCCTCTACCTGCCTGCTCTTATCTGTTTTCTGTCTGACAGCTTGTTCATCTGCCTGCCTGCTGACCTGCCGGTCGATCTTTTTATCTAGACGTCAGACCTTGCAACCTAAAATCCTTCTGTATTAACAGCAGTGGATCTAAAACGTTTTCGTCTGCGGACCATTTCGGCGGGGCAAAATATCACTCTGACCTACCGGTCATATTCCAATCGCTTTCGATTTCCACCGCAAAAAATAAAAATTATAAAACTCATCAGAATTAATGGTAAGAATGGCGCTGCTTTTGATGTGATTGCAATTTGAACCACCCTGTGGATCACCTGGAAGACTCTTGCGAACCAACAGTGGTCAACGGACTGCACTTTGAGAACAACTGATTAATAAGGCCGTGTGTATTAGGAAATTTCATGTTTATTGTTGGCCATAAATAACCCACTCACTCGATCACTCGTTAAATTCCTTTGATAATTTACGCCACAACTCGCACCTTTTGTAATGGCATTTTACTTAATGATAACAAATAGCTTTAACCAATTACTGATTTATTGAAAACTGTTGAAACCAATCAATAGTTAGACTTGTCTATTGACAAGTTTTGTAAACCAATCAGTATTTCAGACTTGTTTCTAAAAGTTTGTAAACCTATCGTTTTGTAAATCAGTCAGTTGTCCAAGCTTGTTTCTAAAAAAGTATCGAACTTACAGTGCACTGAAATACTGTGCTTAGTAATCCTGGTCGATTATGAACAAGTTATTACTACAAAGTTTTAACAAAACAACAAAGGAGTTTACCGTTGCGATACTTGATCAATCAGCCTGGTGGGTAAAAAGCAAAATTGAAAACCCTCGTGCATCCGGTATGTGACCAATTACACGACACTCTGTATAATGTTAATTCTTTCTCATATGATATTGATTACAACATGAGTAAAAAAAAATTAATGTTACTTTAATTTAAAGCTATTTCATAAGACTTATTATTATATCACTGTATCATTTCTATAGTATAAATAGAACTAAAAATACCTATATTATATATAGAATATTTGGGATAATACTTCACTCTATTACAGTATTAAAAAAGTATGTCAAATCAGTCGATTATCCAGTATTTTGTTGGAGTACATCGTCACTAGCTTACAGAACACTATAAAGTCGTGATTTGAAGTTGGTATATTATGTGTTATAAACAACAGTATAACAGCTGCTTCTATAACTATAAAGTCGTGATTTGAAGATGGTATATTATGTGTTATAAACAATAGTATAACAGCTGCTTCTATAACTATAAAGTCGTGATTTGAAGATGGTGTATTATGTGTTATAAACAACAGTGACGATGTACTCCAACAAAATACTGGATAACCGGCTGATATGGCATACTTTCTAATATTTATAGACGTTCTGTAAGCTAGTGACGATATACTCGAACAAAATACTGGATAATCGACTGATTTGACATACTTTCTAATATTTATAGATTAAAGTCGTGATTTGAAGTTGGTATATTATGTGTTATAAACAACAGTATAACAGCTGCTTCTATTAGTTATAGAAGCAGCTGTTATACTGTTGTTTATAACACATAATATACCAACTTCAAATCACGACTTTATAGTTATAGAAGCAGCTGTTATACTGTTGTTTATAACACATAATATACTAACTTCAAATCACGACTTTATAGTTATAGAAGCAACTGTTATACTGTTGTTTATAACACATAATATACCAACTTCAAATCACGACTTTATAGTTATAGAAGCAGCTGTTATACTGTTGTTTATAACACATAATATACCAACTTCAAATCACGACTTTATAGTTATAGAAGCAGCTGTTATACTGTTGTTTATAACACATAATATACCATCTTTAAGTCATTTATTTTCGCTCGAAATAGTATGACTTGTTTATGACGTATCTGACGTGCAGTTTATACTCGTACGCTGAGTTTGAATTTGAAGTTAATCTGTTAATATTAAAGAGGAACGCAGTGTAACTTTTCATTAAACATTATTCCGAGTGTTAAACCAGTAAGTTCCTATAGGCCGCTCCAGCTACACTAACACGGTAAGAATGTACAATTCACATAATTAACTATGAGGTGGATTAGGTTGTCAATTCGTATAAAAGATATGTTATCTTGGTCAGCTCTATTAATCTATCTCCGTACTACCAAAAAACTGCCCAACTTGAGACTTCAAACATTTTGTTTTGTACGTTGTATGTAACTACAGGAACTGGGAATGACTGCTAGTAATCTTACAAGAAAGGTGTAATAAACGAAGTCATGGAAACCACCTGGCGATAACGAAAGGAATTACTTTGTCTACAATAAAGATCAATCGAGTTCTTTCAAAATGTAGAATACTTGTGTGTCCTTTAAATCATGGTCAATTCGGTAAACCGATTTTGTGTCCATGGCAGAGCGAAATAGGAGCTTAAAGTCAATTGAATCCACACACGCACATACACATGTATATATAAATCACGGCAGAGCGAAATAGGAGCTTAAAGTCAATTAAATCCACACACGCACATACACATGTATATATAAATTACATCACTGTGTTTGCATGACGCAAGAAAGGATTAAAAAGTAAACACACGTTTTAAAGTCTACAGTGAGGTACCTGAGATGAAATACGCTTAAGGGACAATTTCTATGACAAACATGTAAATAACACACACGGATACCTATATATATATATATATAAATATACTTGTAATCATGATATGTAACCACTTCAGATTAAAATATTTACTCATACCGCTTGTATCATTCACCTTTTAAGTTTATCTCCTTTGAAGCGTTTAGACAAGAAAAAAAAAATTCTTAATTTTAATAAAAAATGTATAACCTTACCATGTTTTAATAGACTTCAAATGTTGATGCAACTAAACAGGTTTTGACATCAAAAGGCAGTACAATTCTAGGCCTACTTTCAATTATTTTAGATTAGACTTAATAATCAAATTAAATAAGTATTCCGATACGTAAGAGGGCGTCTCATGTTAACAATGAATCCATCGGTTAACTTTACATATACAGATGTTGGTACAGAAAATTCTGAACTTTTTAATGTTGAAAAGTGCTCTGGGGAAGTACGATTGTAACCAAACCACCAGAAGGCTCGACTTATTAACATAAGAAACTTGATAATGATAGGTTTCAGAAATTTATAACGAGTATATATTTTCAGAACAAAAATCCTAAAATTACTTAGGTTTATGATTTTGACATTTAAACGGTGAACACAATGTTTAATGATAGCTACGCTCATATGCAGGTTTATCTTAACATATATTATTTTAATGTCACATAATTTAGCAAAGAATCTTTAGATATAAAAAAAAACACGAGCTGGTGGTTTATTGGATGTATTGAAAGAGGAAGAGATCATGTTGGGAAAGAATATGATCGACGAATCCAAATTCGCCCTTTTCAGCCATGGGGGCGTTATAATGTGC